CCCCCCTGATCCGGATCTGTCACTTTATTTATTTAACCTATTTATTTATGGAGCGGGTGACGCGCGGAGGCGGCATTTGTGCTCGGACTGATGGACGTCCAGGCTGGCAGCGGGCACCGTGCTGACCCGCCCAGGTTTGCCCAGCTCTCAGCCCTCCCCACACCGCCCTGGCACCGGGCTGGGCACGGGGACACCGCCCTGGCACCGGGCTGGGCACGGGGACACCACCAGGACACTGCTCCATCCAGGCAGGAGGGCCATGGGTCCCTCTCCAGGGGCTTTGGCAGAAGCTGAGGCTGCCCTGGCCCCTGGTGCTGGCTTTGCTCCGCTGGATCCCAGGAATTTGGAGATTTCTGCGTGGACTGGGAGACTTTGTGGTGGCGGTGCCTTGTCAGAGTCCCCCAGCGGGACTCCCCAGCCTGCATCGACTCTGGTGGCAGCAGGGACACCTCACCCACTGCGGGCACGGCTGGCACTGCAGGAGCTCCATCCACAGGGCTTGCAGGGTCACCAGGCCGAGTCACCCAAAGCCCCGGGCTGTGCCACGCTCTGGGGACACTCTGGGGACACTGTGGGGACACTGGAGACAGCCCCAGCGAGGCTCCCGAGGCCCGTGGGTGTGCAGCTCCTGACAAGAGCCCGAGGTGGGAATGTCCAGCCCCTTCCAGCACCTTCTGGAGATGCCCAGCCTGGGAGCAGCACTGCCCGCCGAGCTCCAGGCTGGCACAGGCTCCATCTGCCACGGAGATGTGGGACAAGGAGGTGACACCCGGGGCAGCGATGGCATCGCTGTGCCCTGGACATGGCACGTGGAGGTCACCTCTGTCACCTCCTGGTTGGGACAGACTTCTGGTGGGTTCTGGAGGACCGATGTGGGGTGGTGATGGGGGTGAAGCCCAGGACTGTGGGGTTGGAGCCTGCTCGTGTTCCTGTGGGATGCGGTGAGGGGAGCTGGGCAGAACCTGTCCTGGCAGTGCCAGGCCAGCAGCTGAGTTGTCCCTGGGGTGGTGGAGGTGGGGACATCCCTGTGCTCGATGGGATCCTTGTGAGGGAGCCACCCCTGGCTCTCCTGGCTCAGCAGAGGGCCGGACAGGTCAGAGAGGGTTGCAGGTGGGGAATGTCCTCTGGCAGCAAGGAGAATTCCTTCACAGGGTGGATGAGGCTGGAAGGGACCCTGGAGCCCATCCAGTCCCTGGAGCACGTTACTCAGGGATGTGTCCGGGTGGGTTTGGAATCTCCCCGGGGAAGGAGACTCCGGCACTGCTCTGGGCAGGCTGCTCTTTGCTGCTGGGCTGCTCCCCGCTCCCCTCGCTGGCTCCTGCACTCAGACAGGCTGAGGGAGGGCGGGGAGGCACGGGCCTGCCCTGGGGACATCCGGAGGGAACCGGGAGCTGTGCCCAGCCCGGAGCCGGGCAGGTCCTTCGGCAGCCGTGTCCCATCCACGCGTGGCTGTGCTGGGCCCTTCCCAGCCGTGCCCTTCTCCCCTTCCCTCGAGCTCTCCATCACTGACCCGCCCTTCCTCTGCCAGCTGTGCCCCATAACACCCCCTGTCCCTCCAAAACCTCTGTCCCCTTCTCCCCCATGCTGGCCCCTGCCTGGGCCACCTCGGCAGGCGGCAGCCAGGTCCGGGCTGTGCTCAGCCTGCCAGGAGGGAGCAGGGGAAGGTGCTGCAGGAGGGACAGCAGGGTC